TCTTATTTCCTCTTTAAAACCCTCTTTGAAGCCCTAAGCTGTCAATTTCCCTTTTTCATGCTCTAGGAGCTGTTTCATATTTGAGATAACAAGTTCTAAAATCAGCATTCTTGCTATACAGATGATTTTACCATCTGTCCTTCTTATCCTATTATCTTGACCAGATACTTGGAATGTATTAATATAACTAAGCATTTTCCCCCCTACAATCCACTGCATTTATTTTCCTGGAACTCTCCTTGCACCACAAGCAAGATGCAATGTTTCAGCCAAAATGAACAATATTATAATTCATTTAGAGATGGTGACTCATACCTACAGCAGTTTCAGTTATTGCCTGAGTAGATGGAGACTGCTAGGTAAGCTGACTGAAAGGTGACAAGTGGACTTGCATATACAAGATAACCACATCTGTCTCATGAAGAGGTAGATAAACCACTTTATTTTATTTTTCAAATGAATAAAAATTTTATTTTATAGTGGTTTACTTTAAAAGTTCATATACGTTGTTTTTCACACCACATCTTTCCTTTATCCACTCCTCCCTTCAAATTGTGCAACCCTATGATTAACGCTGTCCCCATCCCCCACCATCCATCCTCATCTGTCTAGTCTCCCCCTCCCTCCTACTGGATCCTCATACACGTTCTACAATAATGGTCTTATACAGTATTTGTCCTTAAACGACTGAGTTAGTTCACTTAGCATAATGCTTTCTTGTCCCTCTCAAGTTAGGTAGTGATTTACAAAATCATTGCTCTTGAATGCTGTGTAGTATTCCACTGTGTGACTCTACCATAATTACTTAATCCATTTGATTGTGGTTGGACATTTGGGTTGTTTTCATGTTCTTGCGATGGTGAATAATGTTATGAACATTGGTGTATAAGTCTCTGTTTGTGCCTCAGTTTTCTTGGGGTATATTCTAAGCAGTGGAATAGCTGGGTCATATGTCCAAATTTTTGAGGAAAGACCAAACTGTCCTCCAGAGCAATTGTACAATTTTACAATCGCACCTACAGTATGTAAGAGTTCCTATCTTTCCATATCCTCTCCAACATTTATTACTTATCCTATTAAACATTCCCACTGCTACTGGAGTGAGATGGTATCTCACTGTGGTTTTGATTTGCATCTTTCTTATTGCCAATGATTTTGAGTATTTCTTCATGTGTCTATTGGTCATCTAAACATCTTCTGTGAAAATTCTTTCCATGTCTTTTGTCCATTTTATAATTGTGTTATCAGACATGGGAATAAAGCCCAAAGCCATAAAGTTCATCATAGGCAAATTGAGATCAAGCTTATATGGCCTAGTCTATAGTATAAAATACTGCCAAATATAGCCAGAAATGCACAATCTGGAGAGGATAAAATTGATGAATGGGACCTTATAAAGATTAAATCCCTGTGCCCATCAAAAATCTTTCCCAACAGAGTAAAAAGAAAACTGAAAAAACATTTGGCAATATGATTTCAGGCAAGGGTCTGACAAAAGTTTATATAATTCTACAAGGCCTCCACAAGAAATAGATAAACCATTTTAACATCTAGATTGAGATCGTCAAGGAGGATATCTAGAGGCACTATCAAAGATGACTGTTGAGTGTGAACACTTCAATTGCTGTATATCACTAAAAAGAGTGTGTTGGATAATTTCCACATTCTGTTGGATCACCTTGTTTTGGGGAGTTGGAACAAATATTAATCTATTCCAGTTAAGTAGCTGTCTTCCAAATTTCCTGGCACAACCTGGTGAGCATATCAGGGTGGTATCTGTTTGTTGGAACATACCAGTTGGTATTCTAGCAATTCCTAGGGCCTTATTTTTTGCCAATGCCTTCAGTTCAGCTTGAACATCTTCCTTTATTACCACTGGTTCTTAATTCAATGCTACTTCCTTAAGTGGCTCTGGGTATTTCTTTTTGGTACAGTGACTCTCTGTACCTGCCATCTTCTTTTGATGGTTCCTACATCGCATCTTTCAGTGTTGCAACTCAAGGCATAAATTTATTTTTCAGTTCTTTCAGCTTGAGAAACGCCCCATGAGTTCCTTCCTTTCTATTTTCTAACTTCAGGTCTTTGCATATTTCATGTAACACCTTACTTTGTCTTCTCAAGCCACCTTTTGAAATCCTTTATCTTTTTAAATTTTACATTCCTTCCATTTATTTTGGCTTCTTGATTTTCTAGTACAATTTTCAGAGTCTCTTCTGACACCTATTTTGGTTTTTTTCTTTCTCCTCTGTCTTTGGAATGGCCTTCTGCATTCTTCATGGTTGACTTCCTTGATGTCATGCCATAACTCATCCGTCTTTAATTATTGTGCTTAATGCCTTGAATCTATTCTTGAGATGGTTTTTAAATCCAGGTGGAATAAACTCAAGGTCATAGTTTGGTTCTTGTGGACTTGTTTTAATTTTCTTTGGCTTCAATTTGAACTTACACATGAGTAGTTTGTGGCCTGTTCCACAGGCAGGCCTGGTCTGGTTTTGACTGCTGATATTGAGTTAATCCAAGGATTTACACACACACACCCCAGATATAGTCAATCTGATCCCTGTGTAGTCCATCAGGTGAAGTTCATGTGTATTTTTTAACAATAACAACATTTGAAATGAATAAATCATTGGTCACACAGAATTCAATAATACAATCTGCAGCCTCATTTCTGCCATCTAAGGTGTGCCTGATTCAGGCCATGGTCTTTTGCAATTACTTGCTATGAACCAGAAAGCTGGGCAATGAATAGGGATAATAGAAGGAGAATTGATGCCTTTGAGCTGTGGTGCTGGAGAAAAGTACTAAATATACCATACACTGCTAAGTTTGTCCTGGAGAGGGTAAAATCAAGCTGCAAGGATTTTGAAGCTCTGTCTAACATATTTTGGACATGTTCCAAGGAGAGACCAGTTGCACGGAGAGGAACATCATGCTTAGGAGGTTGGAGGGACAACGCAGGAAAGGAAGACCCCAGATGAGATGGACTGATGCAGTGACTGAGGTAATGAGTGTAGGTGTGTCAGAGACAGTAGGTTGGTTCAGGATAAAGCAGGGTTCAGAGCTACTGAATATAGGGTCGCTGTGATTCATGGGAGACTTGGTACTTAACAACAAAAGTACATATTAACTATTTAAAATATTATCTTTAAAAATAACTAATAACATACATTATATACTCTGAGTGCCGATGAGGAATTTAATTTTAATTTATACCTTTATAGGATTATTCCAAAGGCCAGCCCACCAGGTGCTCTACAGGAGAAGGATGGGCAATCTCTGTGAGATTAACTCTTTCTGAAAACTGGCAGGAAGATCAACTATGGGTCCGTTCCAATTCTACAGGACACAACAATAGCAGGATTATTAATAGTTACCAGATTTATGTGTAGGTTATTGAATTCAGATATTTACTTAGAGGAAAAAAATGCAAAACTCTCGCTTCAGTAATCACACAATTTTAAATTGCATACAATGCATTCATTTATACTTGCAGCTTCATTCATCAAATTTTTTCTCACACAGTGCACAGTCTGGGAAAGTAATTTCTCTGGGTAAAACCTCCTCAACACTTCATCTGTTAAGGATTTGTTCAACATTTTACCACTGCTGCTAAAGATGTTCCTTGCTGGGTCGGGTGAGAATCGACCTATAGTTGACTGTTTGTAGGGTTTTCAAAGGGAGCTAATCCTCCAGGAGGAGACTGCCCATGTTTCACCCACGGAGCAGCTGGTGGATTTGAACTACGGACTTTGTGCACACTTTCTTACCATTGGGCCGCCAGACCTCACTGGGAAAGATGCTAGAAAACATAGAGAAAGCAGCCACTTTTCATGGGGTCCTGAAGTCTCTCGGTGTTAAGTCTAGGTGTACTGAGATACAACGCACATACAGTTAGCTCTAAGGAGTTATTGAAATGATGCATACATTTTCCAGCTGTCAAGCTCCGGTGCTTTGGTGGCAAGGAGTAGTGCTGCCAGTTTAAAAGGTCTTTATTTCAATCCATTGGCTGCTCTGCAGGCAAAGGCAATCTCGAGTTCCATCAAACTGCCTCTGAAAACCCGCGGGAGGGTGAGCTATGAGTGGGTTCAGACAGAAGGTACATCAGAACAGCAACAAACTAACAAAGCCCATTGCTACAACATGGATTCAGAGATACACTAGGACTGGGTAGACTTCCTCCCTACAGGGTTTAAAGGCTGACATGCCTACAGAAGCAGATAACACACCTTCTTTCCTAAGAATGAGAGCCCAGGGCTAACCACTGCACCATCAGGATCCTTGAGGATCCTATGTGTCCTAAATCAACACTATTAGGTGAATTTATACAATCCCAGCTAATATACTAGGGATCAAGAGTTTACTGAGGCGCTCTAATGGCATTCCTTGAATTTAAAGCTACTTCTTAAACGTTGCCTTGCCAGTCTGTCGATTAAACCCCAAATTCCATTTCTGCACGTCTGTAAGTGATTTTGCATTCTGTGTGTTTATAATTAAGTTCTGTGTTTGCGTGTGGGACGGGTAGGGGATGGAAACGATCATTAATTTCAAAGTTTCGTTTGGGAGTAGCTGAAAGGCTTTTAAGTAGTAGGAACTGGAGAAGCGGATGAAACTTTACAAATTTTGTTAACAGAAGTCGCACGGGCGTTCCCCGGGGCGCCAGGGACTTGGTGGCCCTTAGTGCTGCCGAGGGCTGGGGCGCTTGACCATCGCTGACCTCGCGCCCTCCCGCCCCCGGCGCGCGTCCTGAGGCCCTGGTGTGGGAACGCTGCCACTAACCTGGGCCGCGATACAGGCGCCCTGCGCTCGGGCCGGGCGGCGGCAGCGCTCACGGAAGTGCGCTCGACTCGCCCGAGTCGGAGGCCAATTCTCCTCCTCCTCCACTTCCTCCTTCTCTCGGCAGCTCAGCCTCCCGGGCCGGCTCCTCCTCCTCGCTGCCTCCTCCCCGCGCCCGCCACAGCCTCTGGCCGGGATGTGCGGCGCTGCCCCCAGCAGTTCCGAGCCCCGCACGCCGCGCTGACCAGACGAGCGGGAGCGCGCCGAGGGCCGTCCGCGCTGCCGCCCCCGCGCACCGGGCGCCCCAGTCCCCGAGCGGCCGCAGCCGTCCTGTCTGCCCCGGTATTGTCCCCTCGTCGCCGCGGAGCGGGCGGCCGGCAAGTTTCGGCGCGCACGGGAGGCGGGCCGCGGGCACCGTGCGCCCGGGAGGGGTGGCCGCGGCTCAGTCTCGGCTCCCCGTGCCACTTCGGCGATGGCTTCCCAGCCGGGAAAGCGGCTGCGCCTCCGCCTTCGCCGCCCCCTGCTTCTCCTCCCGGGACTTTTGCTGCCTCTTTGCTGCGCTTTCAACCTGGACGTGGACAGTCCTGCTGAATACTCCGGCCCCGAGGGAAGTTACTTCGGCTTCGCTGTGGATTTCTTCGTGCCCAGCGCGTCTTCGTAAGTAGCTGGGCTCGGGACGGTAGTCTCCCCCTTTCCCCACGGCGCGCACCCACCCTGCGCCCTCCCCCTGGACACATCGCCCGGGGAATCTCAGCGCTTTTGTCCCAGGATGGATGAAATGTAGGAAGGTGAACTCCCTTGCACCCGCTTCTCTGTTTCTCACTCCTCCTTTCTCTCTTAAAATTGGTTGAGGGTAGCGGGAGAACTTTGAAACAAAACTCTGTGTAAAGTTCAGAATTCTAGAGGAGTGATAAATCAACAAAGGCTGGTGCTGCCTCTGCGCGGGATGACCCAGTCCTGCCTTGGATTTCATCCGCTCAGTGGTATCTGTCTTCTCTGTAATCTTTTTCTGCTTCACATACTCTACCCCACCCCCAGCTCTCCTCTCCTCTCTGTCTCGTTTCCCCTCACTTACCTCTTTCCCAGACACTCAGCTGACTAAAATGACCGTATTATCTTAAAATACATGGTGGCTTATCTCTGGAGCGGCCAGACTTTTTGGCATATTTGAGGATGAATGTATCAGCTGTTGGGTTTTTTGGTTGTTGTTTTTGGTTTGTTTTTTTTTACGTATTGATTCACTATGTAGGTCATTGCTCACAAACTGGAGTTATTTGAATCTTCACTGTAGGTTATTTCAGTCCCGCCGTTACCAGTTAAGATTGCAGGCCTTTTCCGTCGCAGGGACCGTCAGCATTTGTGACATAATTATTGCCATTACTGTATTAAAAATTACCACTGAATTTACTGAACGATGACATCACTCTCACCACCCCCATGTCAGCATTTAGAAATACTGACTTAATGAGTATTTAAGTACATGCATATCTTCTGATACATGTGTTGTGTGATATTTCAGTCTTTTTCAAGGAGAACTGACTTTAGGGTCCTTTTACACTTTTAGGAATTGCAACACAAGGATTTTTATTGTTGTTTTTGTTTCTATTCTTGATATTTTCCCTTTTCTTACTTTTTGCCAGATGCTTCCCCCCCACCCCCAAGTGTTCTTTCCCCCTCTCTTTATACTTGTAAACATTGTTGGTTTGTGCTTTATTTTTTAAAAGGTAATTTCTGTGTTCAGTGGTATCCCTTTCCCCTCCAGTACATACATAGGACTGATTTGAGGGTTCAGGTTTTTCCCATGACTGGTAGAGCAGTTTAACAGCATTTCTGTCTTTTCTTCTGAATGTTTTCTGAGTATAGTTCATTTTGGTGTCAGCCTTTGGATCAGGAGATAGATTGGGTGTAGTTAGTGGAAATGAGAAGAGCGTTCCCTGTGACAGGCTCTATTTTGTTTGTCCTTTCCAGCTTCAGTTCTTTCTCTGTGGCCAAAGCACAGATTTTCCCATTTGATTTAGATAGTCATCCCATTCCTTTTTAAAAGGAATATTGTTTAAAAATAATTTCATGTTTATGTCTTTAAGGTACAGAAGATTTTATTTTATCTTAACAGTGCTCTTTTAGATTTACTTACATAGAAATTTTAATAATTTTGAAAATATTTACTTATTTTACATCAAGAACTTAAGAGTTAGCACTTACTTACTTCAAAGTTGATGGATTTTTTTTGCCAATCTTCTTTTAATTCTCTGCAATCCTTTAAGTATGAAGATACATGACAAGCTGATAAACTATGTGAAAATTAGCATAGAAAATACAGTAATACTGGACTTTTGGTGGGCTGTAGGACTTAGTAGCTGACTAGTCACAACCATAGAATAGACTGTGAACTCACATATTTGTATGACCTCATACATGAGCCTGCAATAATAAACTGGCTTCAGTGTCATATAATATTTTGAAATTGATCAAGAAAGTTTGATAGACTGATGCTAAGTATAACCTACCTTGAAAAATAGAATACTGAGTTTTTAAGGTTCTGTATTTAAGGTTCTGCAAAAGTTTCCACTTGATCAACTTTTCACATTTAACAAAGATTAAATTAACATTACACTTAATTTTGTAAAAAGATACTATTCCATTGTAATCAGCTTTGGAATATAAGTTGCATTGGAATGTCATTTATAATTTTGTTCAGCTAGATAAATATTGTTATTTGATATGATTATAAATATCCAAAAGTGAGTGGAACACTTTGCTGTTGATGAGTAAGAAAGGGATCAAACAATAAGTTTGAAATTAAATTTACTTTTGTATTAAAATTTTGAATTTTTAATGAAAATAATTGAACAGTGTCCTTGTTTGTTTCAAAAATGGAGTTAAGCAATGTGCTATCTAGTCAATTGCGGCTCATCGCAATCCTATAAAAGGGCTCTGAACCCTGCCCTGTCCTGAGCCCATCTCACTGACTCCAGCACACCTAATCCCATTACTCCAGTTTTCATAGCAATCCATCTAATCCCCGGTCTTTCTCTCCGGTGCTGTTCCTCCAATCTTCCAGGCATGGTGTCCTTCTCCAAGAATTAGTCCCCCTTGGCCATATGTCCAAAGTATGTGACATAGAGCTTCAAACTCCTTGCCTCCAAGAGAAACTTGATTTCACCCTCTCTAAGACAGATCTGTTCCTCTTGCTGTCCATGGTACGTTCAGTACTCTTTTCCAGCACCACAACTCAGAGGCATTGATTACTATTTCTTCTGTCATCCTTAGTCATTGTTCTGCTTTCTGATACGTGTGTGTGTATTAATGTTAAAATCAATAGATTGGGCCGGAAGTACTCGGGGAGGGCCTCGCAGTCGGACAGGCTGCTGAGATGAACGCTTTAGTTGGGCAGTCTCCGCATATCATGGGGAGATAGATGCTGCTGCCTTTGATTGGCCTTGGCCCTCACAGCTCTAAAAAGAAACAGGATCTTGATAAACTCTATGAGCTGAAGTCCAAAGCACGGCAGATTATGAACCAGTTTGGCCCCTCAGCCCTAATCAACCTCTCCAATTTCTCATCTGTAAAACCGGAACCAGCCAGCACCCCTCCACAAGGCTCCATGGCCAACAGCACTACTGTGGTAAAGATACCAAGCACTCCTGGCACAGGGGGTTGACTCAGTCCTGAAAACAACCAGGTATTAACAAAGAAGAAATTGCAAGACTTGGTAAGAGAAGTGGATCCCAGTGAACAGTTGAATGAAGATGTAGAGGAGATGCTGCTACAGATTGCTGACGATTTCATTGAGAATGTAGTGACAGCAGCCTGCCAGCTTGCCAGGCATCCCAAGTCCAGCACCCTAGAGGTGAAAGATGTCCAGTTGCACCTAGAGCGCCAGTGGAACATGTGGATCCCAGGTTTTGGCTCAGAAGAAATTCGACCCTACAAAAAAGCTTGCACCACAGAAGCTCACAAACAGAGAATGGCATTGATCCGGAAAACAACCAAGAAATAACATACGGAGAGGTCGGGAAATGGACAACAGTGCATTTGGAATTTGGAGATACTTGAGCTGAGGCCTCAGCCATCTCATCCGTGGAGTTTTTTTTTTTAATGCTTTACAGAGAAGCATATATTTTTTATTAACAGTGCAGCACTATCTATAATGACTGAGAGGATCTGCCAAAAGAATAAAGCCTCCTACCCCAACTTCCAGTCCCTCTTGCCTGCCGTCTCAAAGAGGTGGAATATATCTTCCAGAGAAGATTTTTCTTTGTGATTTATTATATAAGTGATTGAATATGGAACAAAGCATTATGGTCTTTTTGGTGAGACAGTATTAGCAGGACATACAGAGGTTTTTGTTTCCTCCTTTCCTCGCCCTTTCTTGTACTTTGTAATGTCAGTGTTTATATGACTATGACTTTCATTTGCTTTTACAGAATAAAGAAGTTATTAATAAAAAAATCAATAGATTGATTATTGTCTATTAGGTTTCTCCCACTTCTCCCATTAAACACTAATGTTGTTGTGTCCCATCTAGTCTGACCTGACCCATAGCTGACCCTCTCACAGGTTTTCAGACATAGTAAATCACTTAGGAAGGGACGCTCCCCATCTTTTCCCCACTGAGCTGCTTTGGGGATTCGAATCACGTACCTTTGTGTTGGCAGTGCAATTCCTAACCGCTAAGCTACCAGAGCTCCCACAAGCAGTAATAGAACTTTACCAACAAGCACTACAAAAAACAAAAACCCAATCCTTATAAAACCTTAACAACAAACACTTATAAACAAACCCCCCCACCTCAAACCATCAACAAACACTAATATAACTTTAAAAAAACCCAACTCAAGCTTAACTGGCATCAAATTGGCACTAACTCGTAACTCACAATGGGTAGCTCACAGTGGACGTTTGGAGCCTGTGTATTGCACAGACACAGGAGGAGATTGCCCATCTTTGGCTGTGGAGCCGCTGGTGGATTAACCTGTCAGAGAGGCTCTGCCCTTGAGTTAGCACTGGGACTCCCAGCAGACTATGCCACTAGAGGCTTGTAGAGCCTTGTTACTCTGTAATTCTGTCCGAGGATTATTCTAGTCTAGGAGTTTCCCAACAACCAAATGTATTTTTTTGTAGCAGATTGTCCTTTGGAATAGTCCGTTGTTCTCAACTTTGACTCTAGGAAACACTGAAACAACTTCTGCCCCATCTATATCTCTATCTCGAAGTAAAGCTCTGACTTGGTACTCCAGGAGCCTGTGGGTGGTATTTCTTTGACTCTTAAGGAGCTCTGGTGGCACCGTCAGTATTTTGCCGCTTACCAGAATGCTGCTGTGTCTCCTCATTTGAATCCACGCAGATATGTGGGAGAAAGACGGGCAGTCTCCACCCATTAAGATTTGTAGCCAGTGGATAATCCCCTTTTACCAGCCCTCGTGGTGTAGGTTAAAATGATCAAAAGATAGGGACTAATGCCCACGAGCCACTTTATAGGATCATAAAGATTTTCGGCCTCAGAAACCCTAGAAGGGACAGTTCTGCTGTGCTCTATAGGGTCTCTAGGAGGGTTCTCCTCTTTTAATTCATTTGATGGAAAATGAACTTTTCCAACAAGAGATATGAGTGGCACCACCCTGCTTCTATTAGTGGCACCATCATTTTCTCTGTTA